ATGTAGTCCTTGCCTTTCAGAAGTTACTCTTGATCAGCTTGAATGAAATCCGATGGCGCCTCTAGAATGAATATTCTTGACTTGCTTCAGGCGCACACATGATTCTTCTTCAGTTCTTGAGTATCCGACCTTTGTCACATTTGATGTGAAGCTGAGTGGGCAGATGTTTGTGTTGTCGAAGAGAAGTGTCCGAGAATGATCTTTGAAAATTTATAAGCATTTGGACCGCCCTCCCCCCATGACGATCCGATGAGTCGGGACGTCATGCCTTTGTTCATCCTTTGACACTATAAAACAAAACTAAAATCCGGATACAATGAGGTGTTCTGTTATCACAACATCAATGTAAACACTGATGTGTGGCCTGTATATAATGATAGAAACTTTACAGCTTTAACAGGACTTCCGACCGATCATTATGAAGCATCAGAAGTAAATGTCACTCTGGTCGTTATGACATGATCAAAATGATATCCAAAGAGAAATTGTAGCCACCCGAGGTCGCGTATACGCCCGTTATCATTACTATAGAGATGAACTCTAAAGCAATGGTCTGAAAATGTTGGTGAGTTCTATGTTACAACATCAGGACTTCCATCCAATCATCGGTCTACATTTATAATAGATGAGTCCTATGGAAGTTCTCGCAGGTCTTGAAGACCAGCAAGTCAGCAACTGACTCTAAAATGTGTCTGTGTCCTAGAAATTTAAAAACATTTGGGAGTGTGAAAACTAGACACGACGTGGTCAATGAAAGTCCAATGGCGTGGGGCTGTGGGCCACTGTAGTCAGTATCGGTCGCCTCAGAAGGAGACGGTGATAAATAATGAGGTTTCCCGTGAAATTTGATTAAACATCTGTCTGTTGGGAGACAAATGAGTGGTCTAGGGTAGGGTTGTGCATGCGCTGTTGGACAAGATGCAGCGACTTCTACCCGGGATCTGAATAAATTCAGTCTTGTACCTATGGGGAATTGTCCGGAGTATTTGAGTGGCTAGGATTGATTTTTCAGTTGATCGCTCAGTTGAGGTAGCAGATTCATCTTTGAATATTGTTTTCACACTTACTAAAGCATTCTGCTTCCTCACTCTCAAAATGTTTACTCGCTCACTCACTCTCGGCTTTATCTCTTGGGTAGACTCAATTGGGTTTACCATGACATTGAGACTTATCTCTCATTGATCTCTTTGCTCTCCCTCAACAGGAGCACTCATTAAGATGCATTTGACGTTGTTTGGCGCTTGGGAGGAGAACTTTGTAACTCCCCCTCAAAAGGTGCATCCTTGAGTTGATTCTTGCATCGATCATTGTGTGGCGTCATGAGGAAATAGAGATGTTCCTCCTCAGAATTTGCAAGTATTGTTGTTGTCATCCGGGGAGTCAAATAGGAACCTCTCCCTTGGAATGTGCTTTCTTCGTTGTATGGTACCAGGTGGAGTGAAAAAGAAGCACCCCCCCCCCCCCTCAGAATATGCACTTATTGTTTGTTCTTGGCTTACGTCGGTGTTGAGGTGTGCATTTGTTGATTTTCAGCTCAGAAGAGTAGTATACATGTCAGTACTCTCCTTCATAATGTGCACACTACTCCCCCTAAAGAATGATTTGTCTTGAATGGTGCACTAGGAGCTTTTGTTTGGACTTGTTTGAAAGCTCTGAAATATTTTCTTCATCGCTTCCCTTTGACGAATGATATGTCATGCGTTTGTGTGTGGGTTCTGAATTGAGGTGTTCAGAAGCCTTTCTGATGTAGTGCGGGTTCTGAGCTAATTTACTCAGAAGCCAAATTGTGGTGCGGGTTCTGAGCTGAGTTACTCAGAAGCCATGATGTATATCGGGTTCTGAGTTGAGTTACTCAGAAGCCATGGGGTTGTTGCTCAGCAGCTCAATTTCCCATCATGTGTGTGGAGCAAACATATCAGGTACCACACATGAGGGATACCTGCAACAGAATTAAGAAACCTTTCGTACTCATTTAAGGATGGGTCCGTCCTTTCTCGCATAACACAAATTTTGAAATTTTTGTTTTATTTTTGTTCCTAAACTAGTCTATTTTGAAGCTTTTGGAGAGCTATATGACTGTAATTCTAATTTAGGAATCCATTTTTGAACAATAACAATTTCAGCGCAGATGAATGATGGGATATGATTTTGAGAAGTAAAGATTTTCTCCCTAAATTAATAGACGTTTCAAATGTTTGACTGAATAAACCTTGAGAGGATATTTCAGTTGAATATCATCAAAAACATCATAGGTAGAAGCTTTAAATCTTGTCTGTTTAGATTTCCCATCACTCACATCACAATGATGACTTGAAGACTTAGACTGCCCGGTTGCACTAACATAAGCACTCGAATGAATTTTCACATGATTAGAACCATCAGTAAAAGACTTAGCAGGCTTGTCTGTGAAAGAACTTGGTGACTGACTTATAGAACTAGAATGGGTATCTTTGAAATTACTACAAAACTTAGTAAAAAGAGATTTTGATTTTTCAGAAAACATTTTAAGTCTTGCAGCCTCCTTTTGAGTTTGTTTGAAAATCCATGTCATCCTCTTCTCTTGACGTTTATTAAGAACATTACATTTTGGTTTTTCAAAATGAGAGTGAGAGGATGAGCCATTTTCTTTAGACACCTGTTACGAAGGAGGTTTTAAAAAAATGCCTTTAGGAACAAGAGAGAAGGTAGAGGGGGTGTCTGTTGAGAGGATATTCCTTTTTAGAGATGAAATTTCAATTAAAAGCTTTTCTTTTTCTTCTTTAAAAACATTTCTTTCAGTTTCCAGGGATGTGTGAAGATCAGCAATTTTCTTAATGATCTCTAGAATGTATGGTTCAGAAAGTTTAGAAGTGTTGGCTTCTTTCCCATTGGACACAGTTTGATATTCAGGAGTAGGGATGGACTCGGGCCGGGTGGCCCGACCCGGAACCGGCCCGGGTGGCCCGACCCGGAACCGGCCCGGGACCGGCACTGTTCCGGCCCGACCCGGTGGCCCGGTCAGTGACCGGTCCGGGTAGGCCCGGCCCGTGGGTTTTCCGGTCCGGGCTCGGGTCACCCAAAACAAGGCCCGACCCGGCCGGGCCCGGACCCGGTTCGGGCCAATTTTTTTTTTTTTTGTTTTTTCAATTTTTTTAACTTTTCGGGTTGGGCTGGGTATTTTGGGCCATTTGGGGTGGTTTGGGGGGTTGGGGGTGGGAGGGGGGTTAATTAGGAAGAGGAAAACAAAAACAAAAATATATAATGGGTTTGGCCCGGCCCGGCCCTGCCCGGACCCGGACCGGACCCGGTGGTTACCCGGGCCGGTCCCGGGTCCACCATTTCTGACCCGCCGGCCCGCCCGGGCCTAGGCCCGACCCGGACCCGGCCCGGACCCGAGTCCAACCCTATTCAGGAGGAGTAAGGGCAATATAATCATCAGAAAGGGTATTTGTCTAGTAGCATAGCTGTCATTGAAAGCAGAATAATCAAATCTAATTTCAACTTTTGCTCTATTTTTCCTTTTGTCCTCCTTTTCTTCAATAGTTTCAGAAGTACCAATAAATTTCATTAGCTTAGTTAACCCTAACTTCATGTACCTAATGTCATTTTAAATCTCGGGTGCACGAATTGAAGATCTCGGATGCACGAGAATTAGTAACCTGATCAAACTAAGATACTTCTTCCGTACCTTTCCTTCTACCAGCAACCTTCTAAAATTAGTAAGTTTCCAAGAACAGATCTAAAAATTAATCTGACCAAAAATTATGATTTTGATCAAATTAATTCCAGAAAAAATCAAGGATTCTCAAGGACAAAATTGCGCCGAGGCTCTGATACCAATTGTGTGAACTATGCTCAGATTTCAACAGTCGAATATACTAATAATAATAGAAAGAATTTAAACAGTAGAAGAGAAATTCAACATCAACTTATACCGTGTATATAGAATGATGAATCCATGAAGAACAATTACACAGTACTCGAACGAATAAGCTAGAGAGAATTTCTATTCTACTGGCTCTACTGAGAATAATATGCGGAAACAGAGTGTAGAGACTTCTCTTTCTAACGTGGCAGTTCCAATAATGATGCATGATGCAATTTAGGAATCGGGAACTCTCTCTTATTTCGGCCTACACATCCTATATTTATAGGAGTGTGGCCGAACATCCTAATTCCATTAGGATGGGCCGAATAGGTCTAATTAAATGGCCCCTAATTAATTACAAAGCCCACTGATTAATTCCCAATTAAACAAATATAAATCTAATTAAATTGAACACAATAAAATATATTCTAACACCAGATATCTTCAGATCTGCAGCAAAAGAAAGCAAACCTTTGAAATGTACTAGACATGTGATGTTGATGGGCTTCCTCCATTTTAGAAGCCAATATCAAGAGATTGAAGCATTTCCCATCAGTCACATACACATTAGATACTGAATGACTCCTGATGTGTATATTCCCTTCACAAATGGGAAGGGTTCCATTTTCTCAATTTTTCAAGCTAACATTTCCAAAGCTAATTTTTCAAGCTAACAGTTTGTAAGTTGCATCTTTTGAGCTGACATGAAAGATTCTAGTATCATGCATAATCTACCAGGTAGACTTGCAAATCAAAAGATGAAAGATTCTAGTATCATGCAAAATCTACCTGGTACACTTACAAATCAAAGGAGAGTCTTCTGTTCTTTTGTTTGCATAAATGCTTAGAGGTTGAGCAGAATCAGGCACGTAAAATACCCCGGCCATTCAGCCAGAACTGTTTGAATGGGAACAGAAACCTCTACACGGAACTGGTCCAAGCATATTTCGGTTCTCATGAGTATAAACCACAAAGCCCGGAACCAGCTGGTCCCGATTCTGCTTTTGTTTTTACTTTTCAAGGCTAAAAAACAGTAACTGGAACCAGTTGTGACCGGAACAGCCCGGTCCAAAAACAAAACCATACCAGATCATGTTCATATAACAGTGAACATAAATTTAAAACATTTTTCTCTATCCATGATGCAGACACATAGCAGTGAACATAAATTTCACATATACTCAAAATATTTACTTAAAATTACAAGTAAATACCAAAGTGTGGTATGCATTTGATAGATTGTACAAATAATATCCATACAATGCCCAATACAGTAAGTAGAAGTTAGACCAATATTGCACCCAACATAAGTATATATTACTCTAATACAATGAGCGATTCAATTACCTTTATCATGCACATACACCAACCATGCTTTTCTAGAAGTGTCATCTTCCATGTTTAGGAAAAGTTCTCTTCTCACTTCATCTTCAAGCAAACAAACAGTAAAACACCACAAATCTCCACACTTTTCCAAAACCCCATTACTAACCATGCGATTAACAATATGCATTGCTTCAGCAACACAAGAACTAGTACTACTTAAATTATTACTCCTCACATTTCTATTAGACATTAAAATTCTCAATACCTTGTTCGAATTTGACACCAAAGCATCAATTTGACCAGATAGCTTCTTTTCCATCCCTACTGGTAGTTGTCTCCTTTTGCACCTCATTCGAACGGGATCAGGATCCAAACATTGAGTGCTTGTACCTTGATTTGGTGGTACTTGGGCAGTACCATTGTACCAATTCATTTCACTAGTGAAATTATTATGAAAAAATGAAGAAGTCTCCTTCCTATCCAATCCCCCCAGCCGCGAAGAAGACTCACTATCCTCAGAACATATATTATTATAATCATTATTCTCATGGCCTTCTTCAAGCATTTTATTCTCTTCATTTTCACTCTCTTTGTTTTCTACCTCAATGTTTGCAAGTTGCATTGACTCAGGATCCACAGTCGGTGTAATATAGCCGTTGTCGTTCCCGTATTTGCCTTCAAATAATTTAGCCCATAGGTCTTCCAGTTTAGGGTCTACATACTTGTTGCGGAATTTTTTTACATCAGGGTTTTCCTACACGGTTAAAAAAAATAAGTATGAAAATAACTAAAAAATATAAGTGTGCACCAAGTCTGTCCCAAAAAAGTCGTGTTTTACTCGGATACAGCTTTTTTATTATATTGAGGTACACCTATTTAAAATCATCACCTTGGAGCAACGTTGTGTGTTTAAACATGTTTGTTGGTATAATTAAATTTAACATAATTAACTTGTTTGGGGCACTTTTTTGAAAAACAAATACATTAAATCTGATAAAAACTAGCTTCTTTTTGTTCAAATATAACTTGTTGGACAAAACTAAGTTTTCAAATAGCACCATCTATCCATAGTATGGAACTGAGGGAGCATAGTTAGTTAAATACGGTACAGGAATTAAACGAGGTTTAATACGTACGCGTTTTATTCGGTAACATGAATAAAAATTGGTCAAAAATTCGTTGAAAAAAACGTTGACTTTTAAAAAACGTGTAAATACGTATACATGTATAGTACGATATCTGTACAAAAAATACGGGGTATTATTTCGAACATTTAAATTATATATTTCACAAAATAACATACATAGTAAAAAGAAATAACATTATACACATTTTCAAGTAGCAAATGCCATGACTACATAAAAGAATTATTCATAAATGCATAAGTTGATGACAAAAATAAAAAACAGTAATTAAGTCCAAGACATAATTAATAACTTTTCAAAATATTGTTACCATTTACTATGTCAAAAAACTAAGGCATAGTAACAATAGAATGAGATTAAGTTAAAATCATCATCAAATAACACTCAAGATAAACTCATCATTCTCATCAAGATGACGGATGACATATGAGAAAAGTTGTGCGATTACTACGCTTATTATTGTTTATGTGTAAAAGTAAATACTAAAAAATATAAGGTTTAGAAGAAAAACTTTAATGTTGATATGCTTGTTTGGAAAAACATTAGAAATCTAGTAGTATTTTAAGTTTTAGTCTTTTAGGATGCTAACTTTAGCCGTCATGCAATTAATTTTAGTATTTAATAATACGGAGTAGTTTATTTTGTATTGTAACAATACAAAAACACAGGGCCCACGGGGAGGAGGTTTTTCTTTTTGTTTTTCAACTATTGTTGATCTCGTATGCAATTAATTTTAGTATTTAATAATACGGAGTAGTATTCAATTGATAGTTCATGTTCCTATTTTATTATAAAATACGGGAAAATACGTTTTATACTAGAAGTCGGAGTTTTTTTCCTTTTTAAAACGGCCCAACATTATTTTTCGTTTTAAACGTATTTTTTTACTCAAAAAATGGTACGTGTTTAAAACGCGTTTAAAACGCAAAAAACGCTAACTAGGTGAGGGAGTACTCGAGTAGTGAATTTAAAACTATGTACATAGCATTGTTTTTTGTTCAAATAGAACCCTATTTTGTTTGGGAAGGAGGGAGTAATGAATTTAAATTATATACAACTAAAGTATATACCTTAGTCTTTTTATCCCACCATTCATTGGAACAACTCAGCCTTTTGGTAATAGGATCCCAACCTAAATCGGTTCCATCACGCTTCAAAAACTTCCAAATTCTCCAATCTTTCTTCATTGCATCCCACTTGTTTTTTAAGCTTTTGTGTGTAATTTTGCACTTGGCAACATCTTCAAAGTTCTGTTTAATCTCTCGCCACTTCATAAACCCACAGCCCTGATTTTGGATGTATTTGATGCATAGCTCACAAAAAATCAGTACATATTCATTGTTCCACTTGAAGCTCTCTTTGTCCATACTGTCATGCGTTGAAGCCATCTTGCAAAATAGGAATAGAGTAAAAATTGCTAGTATAAATAAGCTAAGTAGAATCTATTCTATTAAGTATTAACATATAAAATAAAAAGAAATTTCATGTATGTTCTTATCTAAAAAGCTCCACAGGAATATATATACACCTTATTGTAGAAAAATTCCACAAAATTATGAATAATAATGTAGACCGAAAAAGCCTCATTCTATGTGTGTGATATATCATGCAGCTACTTCTTGAGCCATGCGCTAAGCTATGATATAACATCACCATAATGGCAAAGGCGCAAACACAACTAAACTTCCGTAAAATTAGTAGCAAAGTTTTGCCAAATGAGCATCACAGAAGGACCCTTTGAATAAAAATAATTATGAAATTTAAAAATTGCGCACATGTGTAAGTGTACATCTTTGTATCCAGAAGAAAATACCTTGAGTTTGTTCTAAAAAGTTTCAAGATTGTTGATGTATATTGCAAAAAATAAAAGCATGGAACTATTGTATTAGATAACCAATTTTGGTGCTTCTCAATTAAACACATACCTTTAATTTATGGAGTGTATGTATACATACAAATTAATTAGAATTCACAGATAACATACGTACAAATAGCACATATATATGTATTTATGTAGTTATACATACACATATACACCATTATAATGCATTATAAGTACAGTATATGCACTATGGAAGTGGATAGTCTTACAGTGCAAAACAAAAGCACAGAACACTTCAAAACAATTACTCTCAAAGTCTTAAGTCCAAACAATATGTATACAGTTGTTGAATACTTCATATGTTCTTTTTAAATTGCAACGGTCCACTTTTCACGCTTGTCAATGCACAAGTTTGACTGTTAATATCTTTCATTCCTTATTAGTAAAAAAATTAAAAAAATTAGACTTTGAAAATTTAAAATAAGTGGAATTAAAAATATTTTTTGAAAAATTAATTTATAATACATTAATAAATAAAATATAGTCAAAGAAGAATATGTGGATAGTGTAAAAAGTCCAATGTTGCAATTAAAAGATAACGGAATTAGTATATTTTAAAATTTCTGAAAAATAAATATAAAATTTCCAAATATACCTACCTCACGAGTCACGACAAACCCTAAACATATTGATGTTCAGTAGAATGCTAGTCATAAATAACATATACGTAGTATAAGAATCATGATAAACCCATCCGGGCTTTTTAATCCCAGGCATGGTGTTTATACTATTCAAATTTGCTTATAAATCGATTAGTCAACGCAAAAGATCGTTCAAATATCAAAACGACAACTTGGATCAGACTCCCAAGTTGCATATGATGAAATAACATCAGAAACCCCTCATCTCTTTTTATTTTTATAAATACAAAAAAAAAATACTTCTTAAGTGAGTTGCGTAATGCTTGAAGGCAGCAAAACGGTAAAACATCAGTAATGTAAATCAGAAATTATAAACGGAGAAACGGGTGGACAAGAGGTTATTGATGAAAAATAAGCAAATACCATTTCTTTTACCTCGTCTGAGTTACAGAGTTAGACTTATACACAGCATAATCAAGGTTTGGGTGACTATACGGACGAACCTAACATTGAACGGCTGCGGGGATAGTGAGTGCAGATTGACGCCGAGCAGGAGCTCCTCTATAAGCCTTCTGAGTGTCAAAGAGGAGGGATTACAAGGTCGTCGTTTTATTTCGAGGAGGGGAGGAAGTGATGCGAGAATGCAGTGTGGAGTTGGAGAAGAAAACTAAAATTGGGAGGGCGAGGCAGCGGTTAAAATCCTAATGACATTAATACTAAAATTTGACTGAATTGGCGGATTCTGCGGAAATTTATGAAGTTCTACCTGAAGTGTCTTTAATGACTGATTCTTCTGATTCATGAAAAAAAAATATTTAAAATATCTGTTATTAATAAATTATCCTCTACAGTAACTTCAGCCAAAACAACCAGAAAAGTAACTTCAACCTTACCTTTTCTGCTTATTACAAACTTCAGCGCACGAAATCAAAAATTACGTGTTTGTTGAAAAAGCTGGCTGATAAGCCGTAAAAAGGGGTCACCAAACGGGCTCTTATTTTCGACACTTTGGACCCAGTTAATATAATAGTGACCTTGTCACCAACCATTCACATAATTAAAATGAGGGGTAACTTGAGTTTGCATCTCATTTTATTGTTCAAATTGAAGTTTACCCTCCGTTTTTAAAAAAACATTGTATTTGCACTCCAACCCTGTATCAGAAGACAAAAATGCCCCTCGATCAACAATATATTGAAGGTCAACACAACTGTTAATGGATGGGCATTTTTGTCTTTTCAAACAGGATTGGGTGCAAATACAAAGTTTTTAAAAAATGGGGTGCAAAATGCATTTTTGATAATAAAATGGGATTCAAACTCAAACTATCCCTTAAAATGAGCCTATTGATTGAACTCGTTTTTGAATTGCCGAAAACAACATTTGATCCATTTTTGGAATTAAACTTTGGTCAGGGTATTGTTTATTCTCTCTGCATTTGAGAGTGTTGTAATGGACTTTCCAATGACAGAGGTCGCTGAAAACACACACAAAAAAGGATCCCGATATTTTTCTTGTAATTTTCTGAAGTTTTGAAAATCCAAGTTATTGTTCATCGTCTTCTTCGTGTGAACGTATTGCCACCTTAGCTGTCTCTAACGAAGTTAGGTCTCGTACCGTGTGAGTGATAATGGACATAAAACATGGGGATGACTTTGGTAAGAAATGAAACATAAGCTCCACGTAGGAGTGTGCACCGGACCAAAACCGGATCGGACCGGACCGGAACTGGAATTGGCCAAATATTAAAACCGACAACCGGACCGGTATATATCCGGTTCTAGACCGGAACCGAACCGGAAACCGGTTTTCTCAAAATGTAAAACCGATAACCGAACCAGCTACAACACCGGGTCGGACCGGTCCCGGTTTTTCCGGTCCGGTTCAGTCCGGTTTTCCGGTTTGGCCCGGTTTTCCAGTTTGGCCCAGTTTATGCACAGTCCTAGCTCCAGGGGCTTACTTTTTAGATGGGGGTTGCCCCTGTCTAAAACGTCCTCAACCTTTTTCATATTTCTCCCTGAATATATAATATTAAAACAATGCATTCATAAAGAAGAACTCTCTTGAAATACCTCACAATCTTAAGGCTAGCTTTTTAAGTTTTTATTCAAAGAATGACACATTTTAAAATTATAGTAATGCCTTAAACTGCTCTTTTTGGAGCTTTTCTGATGCAGCTATAGTACGTAGCTCCCTCCCAAGAGTTTCTAGGGTTTGTTTTTGTTGTTTGTTTCGTTTAGGGGCAATAGTCGGTGAAATTCAGTGAGAAATATGAGTTACGGAGTAAGATAAGAATCATTGATGCAAAATTTTTATAGCAATATTTAATAGATTCCAATTAAGGATATTTAAATTGTGGTGGAATTCTAAATTTCATAAACATCCATAAGAATTCATACCAGGGGCATCACCTAAACCATATAGTTAAATCGAAGATATTGTTTTGTCAAATTGTGACAATAGAGCCTACATGACCTACAAATATTAATGCATCCCATTTGGTAAATCTCTGACCCTAAAGTCACTAGTCCTAAACTCAATTTATGTTCCTCTTTGAATTGAGAAAGACACTACTACTTCTTATGTAGAGGCAGATTTTATGGTGTTTGAATGAAAATGCAGAAATACTTCAAGTGCTCCAAATTGCTCATATAAGTAGTTTTTTAGAATCTTAGGGAGACCCAACTTCTAAAAAACAAATTATGATTGCAACAAATACAAGATCTACACTTACCAAACAACTACAATGTATTAACTAAAAGTGTAACCTGTAGCAAAAATGGAAAATAAGACAACCAAAAACACCCTAGAGACAAACAACACCTTCCAACAAGAAAATCTTATTCCTTCTAATAATTGTTATCATATTTCAGTAACCATTCTCACCACCCTTTAGTTTCTAATTTGATGAAACTATTTGATAAAGAGTGTATTTGAAGGAAATGGGAAACCAGTTCTCCCGCTCGTGGAAATTCACAATATAGCAGGAGGATATATCCTGGTAAAAGAAAAGAAGAATACCGAGTAACATATAACATGCAATATCCAGGGTACTAAGATCATCAAGTCAAAGACAATTGTGGGACTAAGAATCCAGAACATCATTAAGAGACCACATATTCACGTGATTGGCCACAATAAGTATCTCACATTATCTTCAACGGATACATAGTAGAACTAGCAAGATACGCAGTTGCACACCATCTTTGCATCTATTTATTCATATGATTAAAAAGAATGCAGCTTTACGCTCACATTAAAGTTTCCTTGCAGCCACCTTTAAGTAGTGAGGTGAGGACTCATAGAGATGGACTGCGGCCATCTAATGTCAGAAGCACCTTATATAAATCCGGGCGGCGATCGCGAAACACCCCCCAGCTGTGTCTTTTGCTTTTGATCATTGCAAGATCAAACTCTGCTACAAGAACCGCTTCCTGCAAATCATCTGCCAGTTCCACAATTTCACCTGTCGGACCTAATCAATGAAATATTTGTGATCAATCAAGCAAAAGCTTATATAAAATCTCAAACTCACCTCCACTATTTGTAACCTGCCGTTTACAATTTGTAAGAATAAACTTCTAGTTGAACATAAGTAATCAAGTGTATTTGTTCGGCGACATTTCGGACTGAAAGAATTGAACTAGCCCTAATGCTAAGAAGGAAATAAAAGTATAGAAACACTACAACAACAACATCCAAGCCTTAGTCCCAAAAGTATAGAAACACTAGAAAGATATAAATTTAAAACCATTTAAAATTTGCAAAGGTTGCAATATGACTTTGGTTCCCCAGAGCATGACGTGAAAATTGTGCCTCTAGCCGATGTGTACAAAATCTCCTTGACAGGGTCTTATACTCTTAAGATATTAAAAGAGCAGTCCAGTGCACACTGGCTTCCCCACAAGGTGGGGTCCGGGCCTCCGGGGAAGGGTCCCACTACAAGGGTGTATAAGGAGCAAACCTTTCATTGTCATTTTGAAAAGAGGCTGCTCTCAAGACTTGAACTCATGACCTCTCGGTCACACTACGACACCGTAACCGGTGTGTCAAGGCTCCCCTTCACGTCTTATGCTCTTCTTACATATTGGATTACAAAATAAAATATAAACTAATAATGATTTACAATACTTGAACTTACTCTCTTCACTGCTTTAAAGGACAAGACACCTGCCTTCTAAAAACCGAAACTCACATAGAACGTTTTAATGGTTGTAAAAGTTCTACTCGTATTTTTTTATTCTTTCTGTTTTATTTCCTTTAGAAGTGTTGGGACTCAGGTCTAGTTTAAGTGAACTAGTTCAAAATGCCACCAAACAAATACACTTGGCTAAAATGTTCAACCGGAAGTATATTGTAACCAAAACGTAACCAGCACATTGCAGATAATGGAGTTGACAATTGGAAATATCTGCAACCTAGTTTAAACCAACCTACAATTTCTATTGAAATAATTAATGTGCCTCCATTTGGTAGAAAAGCTCCTGTTTTTTCTTATCAACCTCGCCAATTAGATGATTTATCAAATACTCTATTGCATTTGATTATCTGACAGAAAAAGTTGAGTCAGCTAATCATACAAAAAGTGGTGCATGAGTTACTTTTTTAATTGAAATGAAATGAATGACACTTTATGCTTATTTTGGGAAATGAAAGTAGTGCATTTGATTATACTTTTTTAAAGCCTTTTTAAGAAACTCGGCATATTTAGTGAACACAGCAATATCACAAATTTTAGCTAAATTTACCATTTACCAAGCAGTCTTAAACTAAACGGGAAGTCCCATGCAAAAAGCATCTCTGCTAAGAGATGGTATAGGGAACAATATCTTAAACTACATCTTTTTTAAAGTACATACCTGCTATAAAGGAGTTTCCATAAAATGTAATTTCACTCTTCCCATGTTCAGTCTGAACTACTTCCTTCCCTATGCGGTTTGAGGCTATAAGAGGTACCTTGACTCATAATTCTTTTTATCAGTCCTTCACAAGTGATAAGGAGTATATATTTTCGAATGCTTTTATTTAAAGAACGTAACTAAAAGATAAATAGCTTATTTCAGACTAATTTAAAATGTTATACCAAGTTTGCTCCAGCATGACCTTGCATCACTCGTTTCCAATGTTCTCGGGAATCAAGTCCACCATCTTGAGGTTCGGAACCAATTGCGGTTGGGTAAAACAGTATTTCTGCACCTTGAAGAGCCATGGCTCTAGCAGCCTCTGGAAACCACTGATCCCAGCAAATAGCTACACCATGCAACATCCGATCATTTTTCTGGTGTGCGGGGGTGGGGGTCAAGTCTACCTTTTACTTATGAAAGAACTGTTAAGTACCTAAGTCACATTTTTTGTATCGCTAGCTGCAGAACCAAGTTACACCTATAGTATTTAGTACTTTCCTTGAGAATTTATTCTGTAGGAGTGGATGATGTAAGGGACACCAACACTAAATATGGTTTTACAAAATTGTTGTAAATAACACCCCCCTCCGTCCAGCAAGAAAGTTCCCACTTTGATGCACACACAATTTTATGCAAAAGCAAAAAGTCACAAGACCTTCCCTTAAATACTCTTACTTTCTGTCAAATCAAGTAAAAAGTATTAAGTAACGGTAATAATGACAATAGCCTAATTAAAAAGTCACAAGAACTTCCCTAAATACTCTTTTTTTATGTCAAATAATGATCTTAAAGAGTATTCTTTTATGGAAGTGAGAGCTTTATTTTGAGACATCCAAATAAGTAAGGTGGGAACTTGTGTTTGGGATGGAGATAATATTTAGGATGAAGATGTGATAGATTCTCACCGACTCCTATTTTCGCAAACTTCGTCTCGAAGACCTGTGCATCATATGTGTAAAAGAATATTCAGAACTGCAGATGCTGGAACTCATAAAATCACAAGGAAACAAACTTCTAGCTGATGAACCAGCTTGAGCAACATTTATTTACCTTAAAGCCTGTGTCGCCTGGATTAAAGTAAAATTTTTCCTGGTAACCTGCACAGTATAAAAATGAAGAAATTGTATATCCATTTTTCTGCATAGTTCACTGAACATTTTAATCCCACTCTCCTACCAAACTTACCAGGACCATCTGGAATATGGGACTTTCTGTAAAGTCCAAGATCAGTGCCATCAGCATCAATAACAGCTACTGAATTGTAATGGGCATTATTGGCTTCCTCAAAGAAGCTAACTGGAATTACTACTCCTAATTCTTTTGCAAGCTCCTGCATCCTGCAAATTATGCAAATAGAAGCATACTTTATCCAAAATAAATAATCAAGATGTAAAAATATGGGATGTCTTGGTTCATTTGAAGCAACAGTTGAGGAATGCTATGGCAACAAAATCATCAAAGTGCAAAACGAAAGAAAATGATTTTTCACCTGAGAATTGTAGGGTGGCCCTTGTATGGTTTTGCTCGCTGAAAAAAGTCTTCCTTTTGGGCTTGACAAAAGTAATAGCCCTCAAACAACTCCTGAAACAGAAGCAATAGTTCAAAAGTTCAAACATAGAAATTGATTTTTTGAATTTAAAAAAAAATATACAGAAAAGCACACACGCAATTATTACACTGCCGCTGTCTGAGAACAGATATAAATTGTAAATGAACTAATGAACATGTCCCTTTCAATGATAAGAACCCAAGCTTTAATCCCAAAACATTTAAAATTTGAAAGCTTTGACTTTTATTTACATACCTGTATGAGAATGATATTCGCACCCTTCTCATGAGCTGCTCTAAGCAACCTGTGTTAAAGACCCACAGAAATGCAACTATCAATAATATAGTTCGCAAAGAGATGAACTGTCCGTGTATCCAAGCAGAGCTGCTTCGCTATAAAAAACCAGCCCTAAATTATTCATCCATCGGATCAGGAGGAGTGGATCATACCTTTCGGCGGTGGTGACGTTGGTGGCGACGTCGTCAGTGCAGGCGAATTGCAGCGCTGCAACGGTTACAAGCCTCTTGCCTTCAGCCATCATCCGCCGTGAAACTCTAGCTTCGGAGAATCTCTTCCAGCTCGGACAGCTGCAGTCAAAGACTCAAAGGTGAAAATGATTATACTCGTCTAACGAGTATGTGATTGAAGTATCAAACGAAGTTTCTACTCAGTATAAATTGTTGAATATTCTGAAATGAGTCATATACAGCATCATTAGTCAAATAACTCTGCCAATGTGACTAATTTACTCCTAGTATATAATAAGAATACTCTCTATTTAAAAGATCTCTACATTAGATCTTCGGACAATGTTTAAGGAGGAAATATTAAGGATAATGAATGGTATAGAAAAAACAGAATAGATGATGAAAAAGTAGGGAAAAAAAATAATATCTATAAAGTAAAAAATAAGGGTAGAGAACAATTAAAACATTGTGCATGTGAGTGTGTCATACCACCAAACTTCTTAAAAATTATTAATGAAATTTTAAAGGATTGAATATTTACTAAGATATAATTTATTAATAATAAAATAAATAATTATATTTCTTTTTTTTTATCGTCAACTGGTCTTCTTTCATATCATAAGTTTCATGATCATTACATCAATCAAAGGAAAAATAAAACTGACACCAACTAAAATCCAACAACTACGACTATAAACCCTATGATCAGACTAAGAGACGGTCACCCCTGAAAGAGCAACGTGAATCACTAACCATGTAGCGGGCTTGACACAGCCATCCTTGTTCTCATAGATCCAAGCATACTCAATGACATAAAAAGGTTGAATTCTCAAACAAACTGACAAACCTAACAACATAGACGATAACAAGAAGCCAAATGACAGAATAAAAATAACTAATAGGAAAACTTTCACGGACTCTAGCACTTCATACAACTCATGGCGGTGGTTCAGGATGAGGCCGTATCCTTGCCACTCTAATTGATCCTCCATTGTCAATCGTCATCTGGCCTGCTCGAAATCTATGCACCTCTTCTCATCACACGCTCGTAGCAAATCCACCGCTAGCGGTCATCTTCATCGTTGCCATGCCCTTGCTACCCTGCTCACGAAGAAATCGATCGTCAAACTCTGGCTTCGATGTCGTCAAGATTGGGCAAGGATTGTTGTCAATCTGTCTCAAATCCAATCCGACGCTAGACACAAGTGAAGGGGATTCACTGGCCGGAAGAACCAAACCTTAGATTTGCTAAGGAAAAATCAAACTCTAGACCTGCTAGGGAGAGACCGCGGCTATACTAAATTTAATATAATTAAATACACATAATTAAATATCTAAATCACCCTTGCTTCTCACAATTAGATTTATCTTTTAAAAATCAGGTCAGTGAAACTATCGTATATAGTAATATTATCATACTTCTTCAAAATCATAGAATAGGCCGTAATTCACTATATTGATCATTGCAACGTACATACATAAAAGCAAAGATTTATGCAAGCACAAATAAAATTGACAATTATTATTTAATTTATTTTAAATATTATGATTTTATATACGTTTGCAGACCAACTTAAGTTGTATTTATTGGTATTTAAATATTTATACAAGTTCAAGGAGGCTTTTCCTAAAATATTACTAATAAAAGTTTATGGATAAAAATGTGACTATAAGTTACTACCAGTAAGTTTTAGTCACTAAAACTTTCTAAGTCACATTTTTTCTACTACATTCACTACTACATTTTTAGACCTAATGTAACAATAGAGATGTAACATATCTATAATAGTGTTACCTATTTATCTAATGTAACACTTTTTAGACAGTGTAACACTTTCTAGAAGTATAAGTGTTACATTAGGTACTATAAAGTGTTACAATAGGTCAAATGCAACACCAGCAAATGTAATGGTAAGAAAATGTTACATTTTCTCTATTGTAACACTTTTCAGAGAAAATGTAACATTGTTTTACCATTACATTTGATGGTGTTGCATTTGACCTATTCTAACACTTTATAGTACCTAATGTAACACTTTTACTTCTAGAAAGTGTTACACTAGGTCTAAAAAGTGTTACATTAGAGAAATAGGTAACACTATTATAGATATGTTACATCATTAATGTTACATTAGGTCTAAAAATGTAGTAGTGATTTATTTTGGTTATATATTTGAATGTGACATAACACCAAAATTCTTAAGAGTTACATTTAACTTTTAAAAGTTACGTCAGTTTCACTATATTAGTCCTTGCAATGTATGTATATGCATAAAAGCAAAGATTTATGCACACACAAATAAAATTGACAATTATTATTTACTTTTTTGGAATATTTATATCATATACGTTTGTCGTCCTACTTAAGTTGTATTTATTGGTATTTAAAAGTTTCTAAAAACTATAGGAGGTTGTTCCTAAAATATTACTAATAAAAATCAATGGATAAAAAGTTGACTATAAGTTACTGCATGTAAGTTTCATGCCGCTGTGATGTGGCATTTCAATACAGCTATAGTCATTATGTCACATATTTTCTACTACATTTATTCTGATTATATAGTCAATTATGGTTTACACTTATACAGAGTAGTTCTTTGTAGAAAATTCAATCGACATAACATATATACTTTCTTGACTTGATTACTTATATAAATGTGAGAATTACTAAATGAATTTAAAATATCTATTTGTTTATGGACATATGCTATAGATCTATTAGAGAACAAAAATAATATATAAGTGTATACGAGTGCGTCACTTATATGTGTCATAAGTTATTCACTCAATTTTACATATTACCAATTACTGAGTAAAAAAATAATTTTTTACTAAACAACTAAACAAAAATAAGAATATAATCCAATCATTTTAAAACATATCACTACTTCTCTTATTTGTTGCACGCACCATTAATACCTAACTTCGTAATGCTAAGTATTCCTTAGTAGTATTAACTAAATGAGTTTGTTCTTATTTAGTTAAAAAGTGTGGAATTATGTCCTAAATCATTGTATTGAACGGGATATAGTCACTAAAAAGATCTACTATGTTTGAGTGTATCTAGATCTTGGTGATGCTACCTTTACATGAGCCTTCTGTGATGCAATATTTTGTCATGTTGAAAAGTTAGCAAAAAAATTGCTTCTCAGAGACCGATTTTCACCATGTGTTGTAATCAAGGCAATGTTGTCCTCCCTCCTATGAAAGAACCTCCCCTTTAATTAAAAGGATTGATATTCGGACTTGATGAACGGAGTAGGCATTTTCTAGAGAACATTCGTTCTTATAACTCCATGTTCGTATTCACTTCAATGGGTGAAAAAATAGATAAACAAATAAATAGTGGAAGAACACCTCCAGTGTTTAGGTTGAATGGGCAAAACTACCATACGATTGGTGGTCTTCTACCGGTTGATGGGAAACAACCTAAATTCTTGCAGATGTACTTATCAGACCCACATGAAGAGATTTCATACTGAGTGGAATCTGTGAGGTAATTAAATTACACTTGCTAAATCAATTATACATTGCTTCTATGTTTGCATTGCACAAAATTAATTTACTTTACTTTTTGTGTAAAAAATATAGTAGTGAAAGTGGAGCCCAGTTACATGAAACACTGGTATCAAACTTGAGAGATATGCTCGACACCTATAATGTTCATGCAAAATCATTCAGGATGGTGAGGGATAGATTCAATGACACAAATTGCATGTCATTGAAAATGAAGCTAACTGGAAAGAGAAATTCAGATGGACGTACATATAATACTCTAAGTGTACGTGAGGTTGCAGCCCTAATTGAGGGGGACTTCAACGTTAATAAACAAGAGAAGGATGTGCTTATTGAGACAAAGTCTGATGACTTACACTTTATTTCAGAGTTGAATCCCTCTTTTCTTGGCTTGCAATATCCACTTTTATTTCCATATGGTCAGGATGGGTTTCGAGAATATGTTCCCTTAACACGTGCATCACATGCTACAACAAATGGAAGAAAGCATGTTACCAAGAAAGAATTCTTTTCATATTGGCTTCAAGAGCGTAACGATGAATCCCCTTACATATTGAGATGCAAACGATTGTTTCAGCAGTTTATGGTTGATGGGTATACGATGATCGAGTCGTCACGTCTATCCTATATTAGACAACATCAAAAGGAATTGAGAAGTGAGTTGTATAGTGGATTAGCTTATGCGCTTGGACGTGGTGAAACAAATACATCTAGGCTAGGGCAACTCATTGTACTACCGAATTCGTTCATAGGTAGTGCATGTAACATGATCCAGAACTACCATGATGCAATGGCAATTTGCAAGTGGGCTGAATATCCACAAGTTTTCATCACGTTTACATGCAACCCTAAGTGCCCTGAGATTGTACGCTACGTCAGGGAAAGAGGGCTAAATCCGGATGATCGACTCGATATCCTATGTAGGATATTCAAAATTAAGCTCCATCAACTCGTCAAGGATATACAACAAAATAAGTTATTTGGAGAAGTAAAAGCATGTATTATTTAGATTACATATTTTTCTATTTTTAATTAATATTTTAATCTAAAAATCATAAAGATTACATATAGTATTGTGAACAATCTTTTAAAATCGTATTTTTTTGCATGTAAAAGTCATTTACACAATGCAGTTTCAGAAGCGAGGACTGCCACATGCACATATAGTATTGTGGGTTTATGAAAAAGAACGATATGTCTTGACCACATATATCGATAAGGTAATCTTAGTCGAGATCCCCGATGAGAAATGTTACCTAGAGTATTACACCATGGTGAAGGAGCTAATGATACATGGCCCATGTGGATTGTTGAACAAAAAATCACCATGCATGGTTGGAAATCGTTGTACAAAATACTTTCCGAAAAAGTTTGTACGACAAACGACCATCGATAAAAGTGGTTTTCCAGTCTATAGAAGAAGAGAGGATGGTAGAACTATGGCAAAAGGCGACATTATTCTTCTTGACGATAGATTCGTTATTCCGCATAACCGTATGTTATTACTTAAGTAAGGTGCCCACATCAACGTTGAATGGTGTAATCAGACATGTTCAATAAAGTTCTCTTAAAATATATAAACAAGGGCAATGATCGGATAACCGTTGCATTCTCTGAGAATACCGATAGTAATAAATCTCAAATAATTGATGAGATTAAGATGTATTATGAATGTCGGTATGTCTCAGCATGTGAGGCTGCTTGGATGATTTTTGGGTTCCCTATTCATTATAGGGATATTGCAGTTGAGCAACTAAGCTTCAACCTCCCAGGAGAACATAATGAAAGGGAATCCACGACCACAGTGTTGAATCGTGCTACTATTCACTCAACCAAATTCACAACCTGGATGAAGGCAAATGAAATGTACCCCGAGGCCAAGTCATTGACATATTCCGAGTTTCCTACTAACTT